TGCAATATTCTAGACAATGTTTCTAAACTCTAAACGCTCTAAAAGAGCACAGCATGTCATGATCGTCACTCTCTGCCTCTGGCTGCTCTCTGACACCTGCCAGCGTTCTTGGCCACGCCCACTTCTCCACTCTGCACGGAGAGCAGCTGATCAGCTGCAGCAGGAAGCTTATCCTGCAGCTCTGGGCTGCACAATGGTGCAGGAGGTGCTAAATAATTTAAAATAATTTATTTTAAATAAAAATTCCATGCCGATCATGCAGCTCATCCACCAATCAGCCAGTTGTGTGTCATGTCCAATTTTATTTTGAAAAACGCCGATAGAGCGAGTTCACAATAAACAAACCATGAAGTAGTGAGGGACTACTGTATATACTAAAATAAACTACTACTTACTACTTGTACTAATATTCCAGGGTACGGAAAGCCCCGTGATAAACGAGGGACTACTGAATAGATAACCATTCCAACTATGCTGCTGCATTTGCACGCTGTCCTTATGGAACAAAAGTGAATTAAAGGTCATGTGCTTTTTGTTTTCTTCTTCTGTCAGCTACTGCTGCCCCTGAAGACCCAGGAGGACCTGGATCAGGCCATGTTGAGTCTGAGCTGCACTTCTGGAATTAATGGGCTGCTTAGGATACTGCTTAAGACTCCCAAAAACAACCATGTTAGTCCCTCACACTGAGCACTGAACATGCATTGTAACCACAGCTGCCACGATAAGAGCCTGCTAAAAGTTTGCTGACATCATGTTTTTTTTAATCATGTGACATCTGAATACTGCTGCAGTCAAGCAGCTGTTTGGTAAAACCAGGGAGGAAACAAACGTCCTCCTCTAACACGCTGATGTAATGAGTCATGATGCAACGCTGTCCTCACTTCCCCTGCTGATCTTTGTTCTTCCTGCGTGTTTTCTCAGCAGTATCTACAGGTGAACAGCAGGGACAAACAGAGCGAGATGAAGTCATCACGGTCGTTGGGAGACTTGAAGGGTTCGTTGTTCAAAGGCTCAGAGAGGGTGCGCAAACACTCGACAGGTGAGCACAAATCAAGCACAGACAGGTAACGTCACCAAACAAGGGAGGGTTACAGAGACTCTCAAGTTTGTACTAATCCTAAATGGATAATTCAGATCTTTTCAAGTGGGGTGCCGTGTTAACGTTATGAAGAATTAATATCTTACCTGTAGTAAATATCTCTTTGAACGGCCTTAGTTTGGAGGTACAGATTAGCTCAGATTAGCCATTAGCTCATCAGTCTGGTCAGAATTAAACTTAGTTTCTTCAAACTGAGGTAATTCAAAGTATTATAGTCAACAGGTAAGATGTTAATTGCTTGTAACCTGTCCACAGAATTAAACTTTTAAAAAGTTGAACTATCTCTTTAATTTAAAAAATAAAAAAGCAGAAAGGCAAAAATAGAGCTAACACTAGAACAACAGATTTATTTATTAGTTTATTTTTTGCAGAAATGCTGTGTGAATACCAAGTGTTAAATGACTTTTCAGAAGAAGCTGAAACTGATTTGGTAAAGCTAAAATAAGGGGAACAGCTAAAAAGAGAAAAGCGCTAGCTAAAGTAAAATGCTACCTAAAAGCTAAAACTAGCCAAACACTAGCTAAAAACTAAAAGCAGCAAAACATTAGCTGAAAGGTAAAACACAAATTGAATAGAGCAGAACTCTAGTTAAAAAGGGGGAAAAAATGCTAGCTGAAATGCAAAAGTAGCCATATATGCAGTGGTTCCCAACCTTGCTCCTTGAGGAACACCATCCTGCATGCTTTAGCTGTTTCCCTGCTCCAACACACCTGATTCAGTGATTTAATTACTTCCTCTCATTCTGCAGAATCCTGTTAATCACCCATTAATTAAAATCAGGTGTGTCTTAGCAGGAAACAACTAACACATGTAGGATGGCGTTCCTCAAGGGCCAGGGTTGGGCACCCCTAGGTTAAGGTAGCAAAACAATAGCTAAATGAAATTTTTAGGGATTTTTATATATATATATATATATATATATATATATATATATATATATATAT